TACAAATGCATTAACATTTATTATCTATATACACTGTCTAGTTACACACTTTTGGAACCAATACATTACAGAAGCTGCAAAATATTCTGTACTGTAAAAACTCATTCTCACTTTTCATTCTCCATTCGAGGGACATAAAGATGATCCTACCTGAGGTAACTACAATGACTTATATTAATTTACAAAGATCCTTTAATACCTAAATACTGTAACTTACAAATTCCTAAAATGTGAATCTGAATAATAATATTTTCCATGTACTTCCTTACCTTCCTTTTAAAAATATGTTTTTTTTTTTTCAATTACAGACTTTAAATAAAAATAGATTTGGGGTAAATTCCTTTTGCTTATTCTTTAAATTTAACACAGCATGTTTGAATTCTTAACATCAGCCAGTACATCCAGCATCATAAACTTCATAAGCATGACTTCAAATGAAAAAAGAAAAGAAAAATGCAGCTCAAAAGGAAAATCATGGAAAAATAAGAAAATGAAGTACTGTACTGGCATTAGGAATTTTGCGAATCAATGTGATTTTAGTCATAAAAACTATGATTATAATATTTCTTCTAAATAACAATATTTATATCCACTAACGTATATTATATTTTTCCTTAGAGATAAAGCAACATCTTCAAACTGACTAGAAATTTAATTATTAAAATGTTAAAATGGTTGCAATATTTTCCGTCGACTGCATGCCTTCCGATGTTATGGGTATGCTAATTATATGATCAGCTGTGGAGATCTGCTGCGTTGGAGTCTGAGATGACTGCTGGTGGGACTGCTGAGGCTGGGGTCGTGGTGCCAGGAGAGGGCCGTGGCTCCTGACTGTTGCGATGGTCTGAGCCCCGGCCTGTGTCCCTCTCAACTCTCTCTGGGTAAGGAGCTGTCCGTTGTGTAGGTGGTCGAACTCAAACTTTATCCGTAGCTCGCCGATCAGAGACTTGGGCAGTATGTCAGGGATCCATTCGATGATGAATGGGGTCGGCTCCTTCTGTCCCGGGGCAGTAGTGCCAACACGTAACCTGGTTTTGTATCCTTGGGGGCGTAAAAGAGGTTGGTTTGGACTTCCCTTAGCAAAAACAGAGTCTTCTTCTGGATGTTGGTATAACTTGTAAGTACCGTCACGATTCTGTATGAAACTGCGAGTCATTTCCAGGGGCATTTCCGGACTATCAAAGATCTGCCGCACATGGAGGTCACTTACAATTTTCCAAGTGTACTTTGTAAATCTTCCAACAGGTAAGGAATCCTTCCTCAGCAACGTCTGGGTCTCGTTGGGCAGCCTTTTCTTTTTGGATCTGGCGTTTATTCTTTCCATAAGACACTCGAAGAACAGCTTTGGCATGTGGAAAATGAGTGGATCTGGCTTCCCATTGAACCCATAATGCATGGTCTGGTTGATCCTCTCCGTGACACTCCCTAGCCAAGACATGAAGCTAAACGAAGCCGTGTTTTCATCCACCGGTTCCTTTGCCTTTCTGGCACATGCTCCTGTGAGGGGTCTTCTTGGTGATGACATCTGGAGAAGAAAGGAAATCTACTTAGTCTCTTGCACTGCAATTAAAATGAATTACTGAAAAGAAATTTAACATCTAGTCTGTCCTAAAATGTAATAAGAAAACAAGATAAAGCTTTATTCAGTTCTTCCCTAAACATATGAAGAAAACAATATGCAAAAGAAATACAAGATGGGGTATACCACTATTACAAACTCATGCAATACCGAAAGGTTAAATTAAATTCACAATACAGTAGTTCAACATATTTTATACTCAGGCCTGGTTTCAGCCAACTAGACCAATAGCTCCAAGTCAGCCTCTCCCTGACAACCCATTCATAGTGCACTATTAAATTGTAGATCAGATCAATTTGGTTCATTAACTCACCCATATTTTCAAATGCATATTCTGAATGGTTTCTATTCTACAACAGAGAATAAAGAATTTATGATTATTTTACTTGTGTCTCTATGATTCTTCAGACCATGGCTGTGACCCTGAGTGCCCAATCAAGAAAGGTTTCTACTCGGTTCTGAAGTTCCTATGGCTGGCCCTAATTACACTCCAATATTTACTTGTTACAGCATCATTTGGATGGAATATCATCTCTACATTAAAAAATAGTATGTTAAATGATAAAAACTTAAAATCTGTACAAGCACTGTTGATCTACGAATGCCATTGATTTGGTTGGGGATCTTCCATGACATATCATTCTATATTTTGACTGGTAAGAACTGTCTTAATACTATTAATATAAAGCTATTCACCTTATGACTAATTATGAGGAACATAACTTAATCTTATGTCACAGGTTGCTTAAGCTCATAATAAAGTTATGAGCTTAAGCAAACACACCAAAGAAGATTATTTTCCACAAAGAAGCATTTTCCTGCATTTTCACTCTGCTTACCTTTTTGGTGCCGCTCTCCTGCAGGGTGAGAAGGGCCGAGCTTGCCTGTACTACCGAGTCGTCTTGCCTCCTCTTCATGCCCGGCACTGGGAGATTGTCAGGTATTTGGTGAACAGATATCGTCCCACCGTCCGATGTTCGCAGGTGTATGCCTTCAGGTGTTCTCAACTGGATCTCTAACTTCCCTTCTATTTCCTCCTGTCAAGTTGTTGAGAAGTTGCTAAAATTAAAAATGTATCTTGGCTTATGCTATTACTTCATTAGCTGTGACTGACAAAAAGAGAGAGAGAAAGAGAGAAGAAAAAATGCATATAATTCCTTTGAACATATAGGAAACTAAACTTTGCAAAAATTAAATAACATACTGTATGAATGAATACAGAATAACTCACTGAAAGAATTAAAACTCCCTTTTAGGCTCTCTGAAATATCTTATATACATAGTTTATAACCACTACTGGATTTTCCCTGCATGTAACTTTTCCCTTCTTAATGTTATTCACATAGCAAGTGATATTCATATACTCTACTTCTTTAACTTTTAAAAACACTCATGCAGAAAAAGAGAAAATAACTTTGTAAAGGGGAGGCATTGAGTCTTGTCATGCCACGCAATGACAGTGAAGTATCTGGATCCAATGGGTTAATGTGTACCATTTTTTATAATAATAATTATAATAATAATAATAATAATAATAATAATAATAATAATAATAATAATTATAATAATAATAATGATGATAGGAATAACAACAATAGTAATAATAATAGTATCAATAATAATAATAACAATAAAAAATTAAAAATAGTCTAATATCATCACTATCATCATCATAACAAAACAAAACACCTCAAAGGCATACCTGTGTCACTAGATTTTCCGCAGGTGATATTGGAATCCCTTCGAGGATCGTGGTCGAGTCCTCCTGCAGGACCTCCACCTCCACCTGGCACTGGGAATCCCCCGAGTCATTCAGGATAAAGAAGGATCTCTCTCCTACTCCACCGAGCCCACTGCTGCTTTCTCCGATGCCCACACTGTTGTCGTCTCCCGCTGCACTACTCACACTAAGGTTTGGAGACTGACTCACATCACTGTAGGTTCATCAAGAGGTATCTGTTTTAGTCGTGCAGCTAAAAACCATAATCAAACTAGAAAGCAATTAATTTACATCACCTAAACTATTTTACTGTTTTGTCATGGCGTTATTTATTTATTTTTATGCTAATAGAAAATATATAAGTATACATTCATCTTACAGATCTAGTATTTTTAGGGCCAGGTGACCACCAGCGTATAACTAATACATAAGCACTCCAAAGTCAAAAGAACCCTATCTGACCTAACAGAGCTTAGAATCTAACCAACACACTATTTCCCACACCAATGAAGCCCCAACACCAAACTGACTTGCACTAATACTACAACTGATTTATGACTTAACATGTATATAATACATGACATGGTTGGTTGTCACATTGCAAATGAACTTAAGTGGATTTACATACATGTCCTAAACTCATTTCTGCAAGATATGGGTATTGGGACAGAATTTAAACCATGTGAAATATCACTAGTTTGATGGATACCTAAGTATTCTAGTGGGAACCAATTGAGTCTAACTTGATACTACTACTGTCTAGAAGTAAAAAACTTTTTATATCATAACTTGTCATAACTAAGTGGTCCCTTCTGTCTCTATTCATGAACCATGGGAAAGTATATACATTTTAGCTAAAGAATGCATTATATATCATTCTTTCTAGTCAAGCAGCAACAGTACTTAAATACTAGAATCAACACTTTTGACCTCAGGACCTGCATGTCTGCATCAGAGCAGCAAGAAATGGCATATTTTCAATAAACAGCTGTAAGTCATTTATGCAAAATAGAGTGAATAGAAGGAATTCTTCCTTCCACACTTACCTTTGAATCAAATTAATATAGTATGAGAATTCTTGAGCTAGCTGGAGATCACTTGCAAAGGCCACAACACAGGCATAAAGGTGGACACACTTGCGGAAAGTCACATCTCGAGCTGCGGGCTGTATTTTGAAAGCTCGACAACCACAGTAATATTTGTATTCCATTTCTTCTTTATTTCGAACCTTATGGAGAAATAATAAAAAGTCCAAGATTATACAGGGTACATCTAAAATATATTGAGCTTTGCTCCCTAGCTTTGAACAGTTTTAGATACTGAACGTTGTTCAAGACGTAACTGGTTTTACCCCGTGAAAGCTTCTCTGTATAAAACATTACTACAGGCAAATAAATTCTCTTAAATCCTGGTTCTCAAGTTATCATAACGCCTAATATTTAACACTCCTACACTACAGTAAAATTAGTTTTCTGTAAAAAGGAAGAAATTTACCAATAATATGAGACAAGAATTTCATGTAAACTATCTATACCACAATTATTTTCTCTGATCTTTTTTTTACATTGATGAGGCACATGCATCTTGAACAGAGGTTAAAGAGAAAGCTATTATTAGTTTGTCACTCAAATAACAGTAAAGATAAATGCTCAATTATTTAAAATCATTACAGAAAGAAACGAGGATCCCCGCAATTAAATAAAACTAAGCCGAGATTCAGCAATAATTCCTTAGCAATTACTCAATGGATAACAGTCGATTCCTAATGGTACTCACTTGCTGAAAACTAAAGTGTAAGAAGCCGAGAGGATGAAGAGGTTCTGGTTTACATTTAACAACCATGATGTTCTTGGACACTCTCTGGACAAGAGGACCTGGAGTGTCCGTCGCCAGCTGCCATATGTCAGATTTAACAGACTGTGGTATTGGTAAAGAGTTGAGGACCGAATTTTTCAGTGTGAGAGACTGCGCTTCTTTGAAACACTGTGAGGCAGCTCTGATGTGTGAACATGGAACTGGCTGATTCTGAAATTATATGCATTAAGAAAAAGGAGTTGTTAGAATCTTTTTGCAAATCTATCTATCACAGATTATCTAAAATGACATTTTTCAATAAAAAAAATCAATAAAAAATTAATAGAACATATACATTAGTTTTCACAGGTTACTTCTCTAGTTTCTATAATGAACTGAAAAAAGTGCTCTATCTAAAATTCTTGAAACATTTACTTCCAAAAAAGAATAGACCATTCAGAAGTCAAAATATGTTTAGACGACAACAACAAACTCCTTTATGTGAAGTAAATTAAGTTTTTATCATATATATAATGAAATTCCATAAAAATGTTCTCTTTTCTCTTGTTATTAATCAGGCTTTCTCAAGATATACCAATATCTGAACTAAATTTAAAATAAATTTCGTAGTATTCCTTAGTACAAATATATCTTAAATTGCAATAATCTTCCTACAAGAAAACAAAAAAGAAAAGAAAGAAAAAAACATCCATAAAAGTAATAAATAGAAAAAATCGCAGGGGTAAATTAAATACCAACAATTCCACACTTACGATTATTTTTTCATAGTTACGTTGGCAAGGTTCAACATAACACCTGGCTCCCATCTGGACAAGCAGAACAGGGTCATCTAGTGGTTCAGCTCCAATAAATATATCACCAGATCCGTCCATCGACTGAATAAGGGGCAGCTGGACGAATCCTCGATAATCTGGACCTTTATCACGCACTCTAACAGAATATATCTGAAAAACAAAATGTTTTATTTGGTACAGTACTCTATGTAGACATAGTGAATTAATAGTAATGAACTATACCAGAGTGGTCCAACTTATTCAGTGCCATTTTCATAAGACATGGGCCATTATTTATACACCTGAGAGTATAAAAGGTTATAAAAGGGCCTTCTATATTGGTTGTTTGAATGGTGGCGGCTAGTGATATGCTGATGTGGTTTGAATGACTGGTGAGCACACAGCCAGGTGGTGACCATAGTGGACCACGCTGTATGAACACACGTGGGCTGCGAGCTTGTAGGACTATGCACTATGCAGTATGCTACATTGCATGCAGTATGCTATAGAGAGTGTAGGTGCACATTTTTCTTGTTCATTTGTTAGTATTTTAAGCCTTTTATTAAGGTTTATCAAAAATACTGCATGATCTAGTAGTGATACAGATATTCTAAGCAAAGCCTTTGAATAAAGAATAATAATAAAAAGAAAAGTTTTAAAGGTTTTGAATCTTTGCACTAATAATGCTATTCATATTCTTTTCTAATAATAAGACATATCATACAGTGGTGGAAACTTCAATGCTTTTTCTTTCTATTTAATAAATTTCTACTTTAATCTGAATGCAGCTTCTCTGTAGTCAAATCATCCTGAATTAAACTATTCTCTGCCTCCAAGTAAATTCTATTCTCCGTACATATATCCAAAAAGGCAAATGTTTTTTTAAATATGGTCTCAAAGACTGGAATCCAGGCTCATAATGTGTTAACAGCAAAGTTCAAAACTCCATGCATATACAGAACAGGATTTCTATATATGCATTAGATCCTTTTAATTAGGATAATCATAACATGGATACCTTGAGAAACTATTTTGTAAACAATTTCTTGTTTTGATGTAATTTTTATATAAAAAGTTAATAATTTATTCAATATATAAAACTACAAATTCTTTTATACTTTACCTGAGCATCTGTACCAGCTGTTATTCGACATGCCTCAGTTGACAATTTTCGCTTTTCTCCAGCTTCTTTGAAAATAACATCACAAGATTTATTCTTACAGGAGAAACCTCGGGTGCCGTTCAAAGTACCACATTTATGGCACTTCCGTACCCCTCTCATTGTGGCACGGCCCAAATCCGTTAGAAATGTTGCACGTTTATCTTCCCGAGGCATCTGAGGATTGAAATCACTATTAGGTATTTGAAATAATCTACAATGAGAATAGGTTAGGTAATAATTTCACAGCAAAGTACATAAATCTATGCTTAAACAGATGAGTTTTGCAATGTCCTCTGCACTGTCAATTTAAGAATCAATCCAGTTCTGTATTGCTATGTACAAGAGGTTTGCTAGCCTTTACCACAAAGTACTCTAGATATTCATCTGGATCTGTTCTAAACGATTACTTCTTGTTTATTGGTTTCTCCATCTTATTTCTTAAGTCTGTGTGTCTATTTATATATTCATTCATATTGTCCCTTGACACCTGTAGTGGAAACCAATTAGAAAACAAGTTCCATATTGCCCTTCATGTCAGAAATTCAATGTTTTATTTGCTTAGTTTCAAAATAACATTCATTTCCATCTCAAAGAAAAAAAGGCTTGTCAAATAAGAAATAGTAAAAATATTCTTGAATATGATATAAGATCAAAAGAATGAAAGTTCCTGTTTTGCATCCGGGCAAAAATGAAAACTGATGAGGTGATTTCTCATTATTCATTATTCATTTCTACAAGCATTTAAAGAAGAGAAAAAGAGCTCTTCAAAGTCATCAAATCATCTTCTTAGTTCTCGTGAGTAATCATGACACTCTTCATTCATATTCACAAGTAAAAGTATTCTCTCTAAAAAGCATGACAAGAAAACCGCTTTTCAAAGTCATTAAAATCACATTTTGGGGGAAATTATAAAATTGAAAATAATGAAATTTATTGGCGGGTGTTGCTGGGACTATGGGCCGTGGACACAAATAATGAAATCTATTGGTGGCGTTGGACACAATTCAGGAACTTTGATTCTCACGGCCTAAACCAAGTACATGTTAAAATATAATCACTGATATAAAAATCATGAAATAAGATGATCATTACTGACTTAGTGGCACATACAAGATATAAACCTAAACATGAGTATCTGCTTCATTACTTTACTGTGTAAATTCCCTCATTTGAACTAATTTTCTGATAATGGAAATAATCAAATCCGAATTTCCACCAATATACATCTAGGTGTCATAAACCACTCTCCCTTAATAACAAGAACAACACTGCTAAACATAAAACTCTGACAATTAGACTGTCAAATTAATTCAATTTTATAAACTGATTCTAATGAAATCATATACAAAAGCAGGTCTAAATCAAACATCTAAAAATATCATACCGTTACAATGGCAAGCAGGGAAACCAAAATCAAACAGTGCTTTTGAATCACTGAAATATCTGAACGTGATAATAATCATTGCACACTCTAATTCAAAGATACAAATATTCACACTCGACCCACGAAATCCCAGGCACAATAAAGGTAAACCCCACAATCCCGTCCCGAGGAACCCAAAGAGCCCCCTATTTCGCCCAAAAAGCGCCGTCCATTTCTCTAAAAAACTCCTTTCATCCCTCCATCAAACCCTCATCATCATCTGGTCAAGGGGACGTCACCATACCCTCTCGTTCCAGCCTGTGACCGCCGAGTGATTGAGGTGTCTTAGGAGTTCACGAGTGGTTTGTTGACATCCGACGACAATGGCGCCCAACGAGCTTGCGTCGCGCATCGCCATTGGAGCAGACACGGCCAGCGCTGGTCACGTGGGATGACGTCACGGCGCGCGCTCTTCGGATTGGTCGAGAGATTTTTTGGTGTGTTTTTCAAAGTGGGTTTAGATTATTTGGTGGGTTGTTTCTTTGGATTTGTAATCGTAAGGGGTTTTGTTGAGTGGAAGTATTCGCGGATATAAGAAAGATGGTGACTGGCCATAAGTCGTGATACAAGCATGTTTTGCGTGGGATTTGCGGAACTGATCTTCGTCTCAATCCGTTCGCACATCGTACGTTTGTATACAATTTGAATCTAGAAGATCGAGTTTCCACTTTATTATGTAACATATTTAACAGTATGTATTAAGTAACGTAAAATTCGTTTGAATGCACGTAAAACATTAGGGATGAAGTATCTTTCAAGGTCTATATAAGTACTTATATAGACCTTGGTATCTTTAATCCTCAGACCAACGTAATCGAACGCTCGTAATCGACAGAAAATGGGAAGCCGCATATGTTGCAAAGGATAACTTAACATTCTCAGTCTATTGGGCGCGGATCCAAGTGGGGTGCATCCGACACGTCCCCCTCCTATTTATTTTTAGCCAAAGCTTTTGAACGAAACAGCTATGCCAATACACCTATCTAATCATCTTCAGTTTTTAAAATTTCCCGTTGGAGGGCCTCAAAACCTCTTGCAAAGACAGCCTCATAGTCATTCATTTTTCTTGGTTCAAAATCCCACTTTCGCTGACTATCAAAAGTCGTTAGAGTAGCACATAATTAGAATAAAATATATATGCTGGTAAAAACGTTTAATATGTATTCTGAATACTTCATTTAGTTATTATGTGAGTCGATGCTCAAGCGATTCTCAACTTAGGAGGAATGTACTTTAGGAATGTACCGATGTATCAAACTATGTACAGTACATGCTTGTCTCTCCTTCATATCGATATCGAATTTGTCTGTTTTTTCTGTCTGTTTCTCTCTCTCTCTCTTTTTCAGTCTGGTCTCTGTCTGTCTGTCTCCTCTCTGTCTCTCTCTCTTCTGTCTGTCTGTCTGTCTCTCTCCTCTCTCTCTCTCTCTCTCTCTCTCTCTCTCTCTCTCTCTCTCTCTCTCTCTCTCTCTCTCTCTCTCTCTCTCTCTCTCTCTCTCCTCTTTCTCTCTCTCTCCTCTATCATCCATCC